TGACCTTGAAGGAGGATATTGTCGGGCGGTGGAATGAATACTTTGAGGATCAACCCAACAGACACGCCTTCCGTGGGGGAAGAAGAGACGGGGTGCTTGGGACTGAATTCGTTCATCACCCAGGTCGAAGTCACCGAGGTGGTCAAAAAACTCCACGGTGGTGAGGCTTTGGGGTTGGACGAGATCCGTCCTGAGTATCTTAGAGCTCTGGATGTTGTCGGGCTGTCATGGTTGACACATCTCTTCAACATCGCGTGGAGGTCGGGGGCAGTTCCCCCTGATTGGCAGTCTGGGGTGGTGGTTCCCCTCCACAAGAAGGGGGACCGGAGGGTGTGTTCCAACTATCAGGGAATCACACTTCTCAGCCTCCCTGGAAAGGCCTATGCCAGGGTGCTGGAGAGGAGAGTCCGGCTGATTGTCGAACCTCGGCTGCAGGAGGAGCAGTGTGGTTTTCATCCTGGCCGTGGAACAGTGGACCAGCTCTACACCCTCTGCAGGGTGCTTGAGGGTTCATGGGAGTTTGCCCAACCAGTCCACATGTGTTTTGTGGACTTGGAGAAGGCATTCGACCGTGTCCCTCGTGCTTTCCTGTGGGGGGTGCTCCAGGAGTAAGGAGTCGGGGGCCCTTTATTAGGGGCCATCCGTTCTCTGTACAAGCGGAGCAGGAGTCTGGTTTGCATTGCCAGCATGAAGTCGGACCTGTTCCCGGTGCATGTTGGACTCCGACAGGGCTGCCCTCTGTCGCCGGTCCTGTTCATAACTTTTATGGACAGGATTTCTAGGCTCAGCCAAGGACTGGAGGGGGTCTGGTTTGGGGAACAGCGCATCTCGTCCCTGCTTTTTGCGGATGATGTAGTTCTGCTGGGTCCCTCCTGCCAAGACCTACAGCGTGTGCTGGGGCGGTTCGCAGCCGAGTGTGAAGCGGCCGGGATGAGAATCAGCTCCTCCAAGTCCGAGGCAATGGTTCTCGACCGGAAAAAGGTGGCTTGTCCCCTTCAGGTTGGAGGAGAGTCCCTGCCTCAAGTGGAGGAGTTCAAGTATCTTGGGGTCCTGTTCAGGAGTGAGGGAAGAATGGAGCGGGTGATTAATAGATACGTGCGGCTGCTGCAATAATGCGGACGCTGCACAGGTGAAGATAGAGCTGAGCGAAAAAGCAAAGCTCTCAATATACCGGTCGGTCTACGTTCCTGCCCTCACCTATGGTCATGATGATCATGACCGAAAGAACGACATCCCGGATACAAGCGGCTGAAATGAGCTTTTTCCGCAAGGTGGCTGGGCTCTCCCTTAGAGATAGGGTGAGGAGCTTGGTCATTCGGGAGAGAATCAGTGTAGAGCCGGTTCTCCTCCACATCGAGAGGAGTCAGTTGAGGTGGCTCAGACATCTTCTACGGATGCCCCATGGACGCCTCCCTCGGGAGGTGTTCCAGGCACGTCCCACCGGGAGGAGGCCCAGGGGACGACACGCTGGAGAAACTATGTCTCTCGGCTGGCCTGGGAACGCCTAGGCCTTCCCCCAACAGAGCTGGAGGAGGTGTCAGTGGAGAGGGAAGTCTGGGAGTCTCTGCTTAGTCTGCTGTCCCCACGACCCGGTTCCAGATAAAGTGGGACACGACGAGTATGAGTATGAGTACAAAGTCCTTTTATTTATTGTCAGTTCTTAGGGCAACCACTCCGTATAAGTTCAAAAAAATCCGCTGGACTTGGTTTCCAAGGTTTGAAGACGTTTCCTTTCCTCTCCAGGAAGCTTTCTCAATTCAAATGTCTGGATCCGCAGTGAGTTAGAGTCTTATATAGACAAGGCCTTGTATCGCTTGGAAACATTCAAATGGTAACCGATGAGTGGGTCATTTGGTTCCATTGTTAGCCTGTAATATCTGAAACCTGTCTATGATTCTGAAGGTCAGTCGTTAAAGGGGGGGGATTGAACAAAGTACCTCCCCGCTCCAGCCGGTGAACAATACCTCCTTAACGACTGACCCTTAACAATCAAAGATTGGTTTCAGGTATTACAGGAGACAATCCCCCCCTTTAACGACAACCCCTCCCCCTTTATATATATATATATATATATATATATATATATATATATATATATATATATATATATGTGTGTGTGTGTGTTTATCAGGTTCCTGCAGGTGATTATATGGTTTCTTTGGTTCTGTTTTATTTGTTATTATGGGTTTGCCATATTAGTTCAGTTTATTTACACATGTTGTCATTTGTTTTAGAGTTTATTACTCTTGCGTATTTCTCAGAGTTTTTAGTTGATTTATGTCTTTACTTTCTCTAGTTCTTTCTTCTCGATCTTAGGTTCCAGTTTGGGGTTAGTTTGTTTTCCTTTTCAGTTCCACTTTTCGTCCACCAGATGGTGCCAACTGGTTACTCTGTCTTGGAGGGCTTGCCTACACATTTCAGCAACTATGAACAGCTGACTGTCATCACCTCTTCGCCAGAGTGTTTGCCTATTTTGGGTACTCTAGCCCCTCTGAGCTGTGCTGAGTTATTCTCTGAACTTTTTAAGTTTATTCATGCTCTTACTCTTTGTTTCTTGTAAATCCTCGGCAGAAACCCTTCAGATCCTCATGAATTTTTCCAAGCCCTTCTAGCCCTGGAAAAAATCCTCTCGAGATGCTGAGAGATCCACAACTCCTCTCTTCCTAGCTCAGACCTCATCAAAGTCTCCTGTTGACAGTCTGCTCCGCTGCTCCTCTGTGCTACCATTAACTTACCTGTCTGTCCAGAACGATTTACAAAGCAGTCAGAAGCAGGTAAAGAAGCAACCGGAAAAAACTGATTCCAGAGCAGAGTCCTGCACCGGCTCGCGCACCTGTCGGTATCCATCAGGTAATCGTATAAAACCTACATCTACAGGTAGAAAAAGACCTCATATTATTTCACGGGTGCAGGCAAGGTTATAAATGAACAAAATGTGGACAGATAACATACAGAGAGTTACAGCTTGAATGAAATATATCATTTGTTATTTATAAACTCTACATCTTAAAAAATTTACTGATTCAGAATATTCAGATAACAGTATTTTTTAACCATTGAGGCAAACCTTCTTTATTCAGCCAATACAGCTGTTAATCTGTGAGTGCAGCGAGCATGAGGCAATTATCTTTTCTGTCTCTGTTATTATAAACAGCTGTGTTTACACTTTGTGATCATGGGTCGGGTTGCACTTCATTATTTGCAGTTGTGTTGTTCCCGGCCGGGTTTAAATAGGGATAACCGTGGGTAGGTCGGGTCTCGTTTCTGAACTGTTGGATACAGTTTTTAAAAATCAGACCTGTGCAGGACTCGGTCACAGGGCAAAGTGGTTGGTCCAGTGTTCTGTGGGCCACTGATCCAAACAAACCCAAGAGAAGCATCCAAACAGAGAAAGGTCAGGGGTGCTCAGAGTCCCAAAGGAAACCCAACTTTAGGTCAGGATAATCAAACAGAACCCCTGCTCTCCATTTATCATTAAGTATTTGATTCATTTCCTTTTCTTCAACAAGATGAAAACCCAGTTGGGATGGAGGTCTCATTTTCCAGGGGGATATGTGCAGAACGTCTGTAGAACACATCAATCAATCAATCAATCAATCAATCAATCAATCAATCAATCAATCAATCAATCAATCAATCAATCAATCAATCAATCAATCAATCAAGTTTATTTGTATAGCCCTTTACAATAGCCAAATGGTACCCAAAGGGCTTTACAACAAAGCCATAAAACATATAAAACATACAGATACAATTAAAAGTGCTGTAGTGGTGCAGGACATTAAAAGCCTTCCAGAGGTGCATAGAAAGGAGCACACAGAAAGAGAACATCTTAGAGACAGTATTATCCTAGTCAGAATTAAATGCTAATTTAAAAAAGTGGGTTTTAAGCTTTTTTCTAAAAAGGCTGAGGTCAGTGGTGCTGCGGATGTCAGGGGGTAGTTTGTTCCACAGTCTGGGAGCAGCGACGGCAAAAGAACAATCGCCCGACAGTTTGAGTCTTGACCTAGGGACCTCTAACAGAAGCGGACCCGAGAAGCATAAAGCTCTGCCACAATTGCAAAAAGTTAAAATCCCAGACAAGTAAGAGGGGGCAAAGTCATGAATGCAGAAGTTTAAAATCAATTCTAAAATGGACTGGAAGCCAGTGGAGTGACGACAGCACAGGAGTAATGTGTTCGAGTCCGGACGTGCTTGTTAAAAATCAGGTAGCAGCGTTCTGCACAAGTTGCAGACGAGAAATTGATGTCTGACTGAGGCCAATGTTAAGCGCATTGCAGTAGTCCAGTCTCATTCAAACTCTTTCTGGCTTAAATATGTATATAAATGTTCTTTTTATCAGACCATATTGTCCAGAAAGTTAGAAAATTTCTATTTTAAAAAAATCCTGTCTTCTGTTTTTTTTTCCATTATCTTCTGCAGGCCAGTTAGTTCTACGTCAGCCTGAACACCTAAATTCAGCCAATCATATATCAACGGTCATCTGTCAATCAAATGTTTTCGGTCATAGCATCTTGATTCATATGTCGCAGCTAATATATGCAACGGTTGAAATCAGAATCCTTTCCTTTCCCATTGAGTTGCGTCCCAGTGTTCACGGGGATGGACGTCTGTGTCTTCGGCAGGCGTAGAGCTAACAGAACTGGCAGCGTTGCGAGGCAAGGGCTCAAACATGTACGGCTGGAAGCCTTCTACACCAAACCAAGCTTCTGCCGCCCTGGTGTCCTCTTCCACAACATCTTCGTCCCCGCTTTCCTCCTCTAAATAAAAAATGGATGACGGAGGAGACTCATCCACGACCTCCGACACTAAACTCTCCTCCTCTTGCATGTTTCCTCTGTCCATAGCGTTCCTTGACAGCGTCGTTTCTAAGTCACCAATTTAGTGCTACTTGGTCCCAATGGAATTTCCCATTGGGAACCTGCTAGCACTAAGTTGCTAACTGGTTAGCCTTTGGCCACAACAAACCTGCCCCCTTGATAAACGACCAAACACTCGTGTAAAGAAGAAAGAAAACTTTAATCTACTGTTTAATCTGCACGCCAAATCTGATCAAAGGATTTTAAAATCAAAGCAAAGGATAAAACAAACTTGCAGCATAAAAAAAGTATAAAAACAAAACAGGACAATGAACTTTACGATGATGCTGATGTCATAATAATATTGAGCTGAATTTTAGATATTGGCTCATGGATCTTCCCGTACCTTTAAGTCGGCTTTAGGTCAGAATATTTGGAGTTTCTCTGAAGCTCTGAGCTCATTAAAGCAGCAGATAATTAAATACGAGCTTTTATTGCCAACAGCCGTTCTTTTGCAGCAGGAACAACCATCCCCATTATGGCTCCAGATCCACCTCCAAGCACACATCCTGTTTGAAGGAAGTCCTTCCCAAAGAAAATGAGCCCGAGCAAAGCTCCGACCCATAATCCTACCAGTAAACCAATTTTTGCCTTTATTGGAAGCTTCTTAGTTTTCTCCTCTTTCTTCTGAACGGTCTTCAACATCTTGTAGGTGTAACACTCTCCTTCACTTATCGTGATGATCTTGTTAATTTCATCCATGATTTGTTTGACTGCAGATTCATTATTAAAATTTTCAACGACATCCACACACCTCCTTTCACATTTCACTGCAAAGTCATAGAGGAATTTCATAAGGTCAAATAGCTCCCTCTTAATTATATCTATTTGGGGCTCGTCGCAAGGTTGTGTCAGTTTGAACACAATAATCATGTTCTCTTGTATGTTCTCTCCAAATGTGGATTCTATCTTTTCCAACATTTCTTTATTTTCTTCCGTAAAGTTTACGTCTAGCACCAACAGGAACACGTGGCGAGCGTTTTTGGAGATGCACCTCCTGATCTCTTCCATTTCATCCCCATTACAGTTTGGATCACACAGACCCGGTGGGTCAAATAGAATCATGTCACGGCGTTCATATCTCACAGCGTAACTCTCAGTTTGGGGCTTCGAGCAGCAAATGTTGACCTTGGTCTCATTTGGTTTGTCAGTGATCCTCGGGTGGTTCTGGATCATGTCAATGACTTCTTTCTTCCCTGCATCAATGCTCCCAATCACCACAATCCTCAGCTCCTGTTTCTCTGTTGGAAAATATTAGGATTCATAATCAGTATGCAGTAATACAGCAGAGTCTAAATCACCTTCAAAAGCTCGACATGAGGCCTAAACTGAGCAGACATTATAATAAAGGCTGCTAAAGATCAGACCTTGTTCTAATCTAGAATGCTGCTTGCTATTCTAACATCTTAACTGCCCTGCTTCCCTTCAGAGGGCTTTAATCGTACATAAAGACCATAACCAGGCAATTTCAGCCTGGAGTCTCTGGGACTGAAGCCCACCAAGGTCCTCTGTGATTGACTCAGACCAAACCTCCAGGCCATTATCCTGTCAGTAAACATATTTCAATCAGCAGTAGATGATTCTCACCTTTTTCTGCTAACCTTCGAGCCTCCATCATTTCATCGTAGGTGTAACAGCATGGACAAGCATTGATGATTTCTTCAACTTTATCCATGATGTCAGCTGCAGGTTCAGGGTTTTGGCCTTGGACATTAACACACCTGTTTTTCAGCTCCTCCTCAGCGTTAATGGCATCTATTATTGACCCCCCCCCATCCTCTGCAGAATATCCATTGATCACAAGAACCATGTTCTCTGTTACCGTCTGACCAAAGGTGAATTTTATGTCCTCTAGCATTTCTTTAATTTTCTTTTTGGATGGTTCGTTCTCGATCACCAACAGGAACAGATGACTGGCGGTTTTGGAGATGCACCTCTTGATCTCTTTCATTTTATCCCCGTTGCATTTTGAAGCATACAGACCAGGTGGGTTAAAAATAAACATGTCACGTCCTTTATAGCTCACAGGGTAACCCTTAGATTTTAGGCAGCAACTCCTGGTCCGATGTGGATTGTTACTCTGCTGAAGATGTTTCCAGATCATGTCAATCACTTCTTTCTTCTTTGCATTATTGCTCCCAATCACCACGATCCTCAGCTCCTGTTTCTCTGTTGGAAAATATTGAAATTCATAATCAGTGCGCAGTATTATAGCAGAGTCTAAAATAGCCACCTCAGTTTGGTAACTTCTCACCTATTTTGCATACTCTAATATAAAAGCAAATAACTTAGGAAGTGTAAACCCAAATTACATCTTTATTACATTATTTGAAAGCTAAATCATTCTTGTTTCAGAATATATAAATTAAAATTGGGTGAGTAAAACACAATTCTGAACACAGTCTATTCTTGAAAATGATAGGTCTTTTTTAACAGCAGTAATAAAGACATGCTCGAGAAAAGGCAGGTCTTATTGTATTACATTTGTTCTACATCATGTCAACCAAGAATGCAGAAAATTTCAGACCTTTAGCTACAACACTTCCAGAGCTGTGGGGTTTTGAACATCTGGTGTAATCAGCATCTCCAAACCTCTCCAAATGTGCCAAATTGTTAGCCTTGTAAATTAGAACCGCCCACCAGCTGCCTGCGAGTGGTCTAGCCTCGATCAATACCCCAGACCCTAAATCTGGCGGGCCAATCACAACGCAGAGATGTGTTTTGAATTTCTGAATGCAAAGTGGGTGTGGTTTTGAGGGCGGGACGAAAAAGCTGCATGACGTTGGAGAAGCACAACAAGGAAGATGACAACAACTATTGAACAGTTCTGGTTTGACTTAGCTTTGGAATCAGTTCTGGAAGGATTAGACTTGGGGTTTTCGTTGAAACGTGAGCAGGAAGAGGCTCTACGCTCATTCTTTTTTAAGAAGGACGTATTCGCCGTTTTACCGTCAGGCTGTTTGTTTACACTCCCCTACCAGCTTCCTGTCGTGCTTCCTACGTCACAGTCAGTGGCGCTCATTGGTCAGAGCGTTGGCCAATAGGAACAGACATGGTTTGAAAAACAACGGGTTGTTCTCATCAGCAATCTTCTGATGTTTCATTTATCAGAGCCAGACTAAATGACACATTTAATCTCACATTAAGTCTGGTTTATCGGGCTACTAAATTGTGCCAAATGCGTTTACTATGCTTTGCTTCACTATTTGACTCATAGAATAACACTGAAGCATTTTGATGACCACAAAACTTTTGTGAAGCCAGTAGTTTCAACGTTTTTTCAGAATCAGTGTATATAGCAAAATGTAATATTTTTACATCTATGATAACATAGAAATCTATTAAAAAAAAACAGTGAAACTACTGCTTTTCAAGATAAAATAAGCCCCAGTGTCTTTTCTGAGCTGTATTTTATTATCTTTTCAGCTTTTGGCATTGTAATAAAGCAAAATCAGCATCCAAACTTAAAAAAAAAATAGGACCCTTATTATTCGTCAGCTTGGAGCTGCGTGCATTGATCCAGCCACAGCTGTGTGGTAAAACAGGTCTGTCTTTTATAACCTCGCCATGTGTAGCCTTGTTTGAAACTGCTGATGGATGGGACCCACCCAGAATGGTTAACCCAAGGACGGACAATCATGATCATGAAGGATCCCCAGAAGGGAACAATCCCATCCAACTACCAGCCAATAAATTGTGTCTGTACCACATGGAAGGTCCTGTCAGGCATCATAGCGGCTAAGATGAGTAGGCACATGACTCAATACATGCACCCTTCCCAGAAGGGAATAGGCAGTAACACCACAGGAGCTGAGCACCAGCTACTAGTGGATAGAGCAGTCACTCGAGACTGTAAGACCAGGCAGACAAATCTGTGCACTGCCTGGATTGACTATAACAAAGCCTACGACTCAATGCCAGATACATGAATACTGGAATGCTTGGAAATGTAAGATCAAAAGGACACTAATAGCCTTCATCAAGAACTCAATGAAGCTGTGGAAAACAAGTCTGGAAGCCAATGCAAGGTGCCTCAAACCCTTCCAGTAGTGTCCACTCTGGAAAGGAATGTCATTGAGGTGGAACATGAATATCAGTACCTTGGAATAGGAATTAATGAATCCCTCACCTTCAAACATTTGATTAATAAACTTGTTAAGAAATTAAAAGTTAAACTCGGCTTTGTTAAAGAAAAATGATTATATTTAGTTTTTAATACAGTTAATCTTATGTGTAAAAGGTATGTTGAACACTCTCATTTTGAACATATTTCTTAATTTTGAACAAGTTTGTGTTAATGATTTAAAACTAAACTATTGATGGGTAAGTATTCAAAGTACAGGAAGGAAAATGTAGGTCAGAGGGGATCTCGCAATGAGGCTCCGGTTGTTTGTCAGGATGGCAGGAGAGGCCCCGCTTTCCGAAGCTATCTGTGAAATCTTATCTTATGTTTTCCTTAGCCAGATGACCTTAGAATTCCTGGAGGCCAGGCCGTCAATTAGGGGAAGTTCTAAGTTTTTCTGAGTGTCCAAGGTAGCTTCCAATTGGTCAAGCGGAGGGACGCCTTAACTGAACATACTAAAGGGAAAAACACACCTACATTATAAAACTTTCTACACAGAAGTAACAAATCAGATTTGCTCTTGCAACTCTCCAAAGATGTCTTTGTACGTCTTTGCTTTCTTTCCTTCTCTCCATTTATGTCAGGTAAATGAATGTATGTCTCCGTTGTTCTGCAGTTTCTGGTGTAAGTTTATGCATTGTCTTACTTCTAAGTTTATGCATTGTCTTATATTGGATTAAACTCTGTAATTCTGTGATGTCAACACGCATTGTTGGTTTCCTTGTGGCCACACACAGCTCGCCGGGAGGGCCTGGGATCAGAGGAAGAGAGACAGCCAAACTTTTTCCAAAGTTAACTATTTTAGAATAATTTTCTTCCTTAACAGCTTCTTCTTTCGTAATATGACATGTTTTTCGTTTTGGAGTAAAAAGCGCCTTGTCTCTGCCATGTTTTTATTGGTCTTAGATTTTGGGGACCTTTTTTATAAGAATGCTTCTTCTTCATGTCTTCAAATGTTGGACTCTGTTTCCCATAATTCATTAAGGTTCATAACAGACTGTAGAGTCATGACATCACTGTGACCTGTCAGGTGGGATGGCCTTCCCTCTCTACCAGAAGGCAGTGTCATTGCTACACTTTTATTTCCGAGGCCCTTCTTGGATTACTGCCATCTAACATTTGTACCTTATTTCCACAGTAAAGCACGGCTTCTTCTGCCCTGAGATCCACCATCAGCTGTTGCTCTCTGCTCCTTTTGCCCGAACAGAACTGGGGGAGAAAGCCCCCTTCCTGGGGGAATATTTTACAGAGAAACTGGAAGTTGACTGAGTTTTTATCTTTAAATGCTTTAATCTCAATGGTATTTTTTCCTGGTTAAATAAAGGTTAAATTAAACAAATGTATTAAACCAAGAACAAATTAATCTCATATCCTGTTAACGGAGTTGTAGAATCCTAACCTGACAACAGCCAGATGCATGTCTCGCTCCGCCTAGCTCCACTCACATACATCTGGGAACCCGCTCATTGAAAGTGATTTCCCCAACCGAATTTATGGTCTGTCCAATCAGGACGCAGGGTGGGTGTGTCCTGGAGTGGAGAAGCGACCGTGAGATTCCAACAACAATGGCGGCTCGCATTGAGGAAGCAAGCGTTAGCATTGATGCTGCTATTTCTTCTGTGTTGTCCAATCTATCTGATATTGTTTCATTAAAAGAACATCAGAGAATGGCTTTGAAGGCTTTTGTTGGTGGAAACGATGTTTTCGCCCTTCTCCCGACCGGATTTGGCAAGAGCTTGATCTACCAAATGGCTCCTCCTCTCACAGCGTCACGGGTTAGCTTCGGTGTGAGTGGTTGAAATAGCACGTCAATAAAGATGACAGACAAGTGGCTTATCCAATCATATGCAAGGAGTTTTGATAAGGCCCAGCCTTCAGTAAAGGCAATTCCTATGGCGGGTTCCCAGATGTATGTGAGTGGAGCTAGGCGGAGCGAGACATGCATCTGGCTGTTGTCAGGTTAGTAGAATCCTCTCCCTAAAAATATTTAATTCACTTTGATTCCAATCTTTCTTTAATAAGATCCTGGTCAGCAGGACATGCAGTGTTTGTTTTTAAAACCTGAGGTGTGTAACGGACCTAGTGAATGTTCTTTTTTTTCAGAGGACACTCTGAGTTTAGTGAACCAAACCTGGTTCCGGGGAGAATGTTACTATGGCAACAGAAACAGATGATGAGTTCAAGACCCCTGATTTCTTGTAAACGGCATATTTCATGCTTTTTTATGTGGAGAAAAATGCCCCCCCCCCCCCCCCCCCCCCCCCCCCCCCCAACCCCCTCAGCTATTGTCAATGTTAGAGTTATTGAATGACAATTATAAAATTAATGTGTGGGCATATGAAACATTGAAAGAATAAGATGCTACATTCTGTCCTGTGATTCAATCAGGAGGTTTATTTTAGACTTGCCTTCAGCCAGAAGGCATTTACAGGGTCATAAACTTTTATGAAATATGAAATATGAACTCACAATATTTTGAATCTAACAGTCAACAAACACAGTACCTGCTTAAAGAAAGCCCATCCCGTTTTTAACTTTGACTAAAACTCTGAGCCAGAACCCTATCACTACTTACCTTTTTTTGCTGAGCTCTGAGCCTTCATCATCATCATCATCATCATCATCTTGTGGGTGTAACATTTTCCTCCACTCTCTGAGATGATTTCTTGAATTTCATTTACGATTTCACTGACTGCAGACTGACTCTCTTGATGGTTGCAGACTTTAAGACACCTGATGAATTTCAGTTTGTCCTCTTTATTAATGTCTTCTATTGTGGAAATCCCCTCATTGCCTAGAGCCTCTCCCTTGAGCACAAGAATCATGCTCTTTGTTACTTTCTCACCAAATACAGCCTTTATATTCTCCACCATTGCTTTAATTTCTTCTTTGGATTGACCGTTCTTAATGACCAACAGGAACACATGGTGAGCGGTTTTGGAGATGCACCTCGTGATCTTCTTGATCTCCATTTCCTTGCTATCATAGTCTGGTTGACCCAGTCGGTTGAAATGATCCATATCAAGACCTTCATAGCTCTCAGGATAAACCTCTTCAATAGGCAGACAGGAAAGGTTGAAGCTGGTCTGATTGGACTTAAGGTGGTTCTGGATCAGGTTAATGACTTCATTCCTTTCTGCACCGTCGCTCCCAATCACCACGATCTTCAGCTCTGTAGGAAAACATCAGAATTCATGAAGATGTGAGCTTCTCAAAGCAGCATATTACAATCTTCTATGTATTTTTTTTTCTGAAAGCAAAACTGACTATTGTTATCTTTATTACAGTAGAGTAGAAAGGGGGGGTATGCAGTGTACGCGGTGCATAGGGACACTGCTATACTAGGGGGCGCCAAAGTGATGAGTGATGATATGCTTTCAATCTGAAAAACTCAAATGAAGAGTAAAGACAATTAGGTGAAATTTATGGATACAATTACTTGTCTTTGGAGCTCAGACCTCGGCAGGAAACATAGAGCTTGATTTTGATAGATATGAATGAACACGAGTAAAGAACAGGGCAGTTAGCCACCAGGTCTGAAACTGGTGGTGGAGTGGAGATAGATGGAGTTGGTCAGTCTGTAGACTGCAGGTTGGAGAGACGGTCTGCTGAGCTTTATGGGGAGATCCAGAGGACTGCATGAGCTGATACTAGCTTCACTCAGGGACCTGGAAGATGTAAGTCCAGATTGGATAACACAGTATGAGAGAACCTGTCCATGATGAGCAAGCCAGGCTAGCAAGCAAACTGAAGCCAGCGATCCAGTGAAATATCGGTGAGAGCGGCAAGAAGGGGACCAGAATGACATTATAGGGTTGAAGTTGAATAATATCTGATTAAATAAGAAATATGGACACTGCTTCCCAATGTCCAAAAAGTATGATCATGGCATATGGCACAACAAAATCATTGATGTGGAAATTCTGACAAGATCCGTGGTGGATGTATCTCCGGCGGGGAAGGAGCGCTATCTCTGGGTGTAGCTGGAGAGCTGGCGGAGGAGGCGCAGACAGAAGCCCACAGAGCAGGAGGAGATCAGCAAACGTATACTGTGATAAACCTGCCCCAGGTCGATGTAGAGTGGAGAGGACAGTCCAAAGGAGGATGCGTAAAAACATTAAAGATAACTTAAAAACAGGTAGCTGAGAACAGCGGCTGCAAAACGCACCACTCAGCCATGCATGAATGAGTGGATATGACAAACGATAGTCTAATCAGTGCTTACAGACACAGGAAACGATAGACGTTGAGCTTTATCACACTGCTAAGCAGAATCTTCTCAGGAAATCATGTGATTGGCAGGAAAGCTAGGATTTTTATGAATGATTACGGAGGCTGACTGTAAGGAGATGTCTGCTCATGCGCTCTGTGTTATCTGAGAACTGAACCTGAACTGAACAGCGCCTAGCCCTACTGATGAACTAGTACCATGTTAGCGCGGTTAAGATGTGTCTGGCACGGTCTGGTTCAGTTTGCATTTGATTTACACTCAACAGTTATCTCGGTTACTGCGCTTAGACCGACCTTGAAAACCTGCTACCGACCAGGTTAGCTCTGGGGAGGAATCTCTCTTTGTGAAACGGAAAACTCAGAGTCTGGTCTTAACGAAAGGGGACATTCGTCATTAATGGGCTCTTAGCACAACTCAATTACTTCCTGAATTTAAGGCAGATTCTTTGTTTCCTCTTTCTCTAATGGCCAGACATACCTGCATTAATCAGTTCATCCAGGAAAAAAAGAGATGAAACAAAGGAGATGCCTTCAATTCAGGAGGCAGTGGAGCTGTGCTTAGAGCCCATTGAAAGGAAAAAGAAGAAAAGGGAAAACATTTGACAGGAGGAATGAGATTGGATGGATCAGCAAGATCCAAAGTATCCCTTTAAGTGATTCATTAGGAGACACGAAGCAGCCGTTAGGTTGAGAAATATACCAGTTTCTGAGACACATTTACTAAAAACAATCTAGATCAACTTTATACGTGATAAAATGCTATCTAACATCTCAAAACAAAGAGCCTGTTAATGTTCTTCATACTAACAGCATGTAGAGTAAATACTGGGAGCACATCATTCAACATTAACATCAAGCAGATAGAAAAAATATGCAAGGGTTGAAGAAATGTAGAGTACTCACTGGACCCACAACAGCAGCTCATCTTGGATATCTGTGGAAGCAGAAGATCCTGATGTGATTGTATTAACCACCGATCCTCCGTCGGATAAACTGCATCCGTTTACTCCCCCCACCCACATCATCTCCTCATTCTACAATCAGAGTCAGGCAGCAAATCAGAGGCTGAGCAGGAGTTCTTCCTCAGAAAGATTATATAACCTCAGGGCATGAAAATTCATTCCCCTCAGGACAACCCTAAAACACACACACACCTCTGCCCTTCCTCTTCTATAGGCCTCGCCAGCTATAGCTAGAGGTAATGTTAAAAGTGCTCAAGTCCTGAGTAACTCATTGAAGCATCTGATATTCAAAATTATGTGGTGATTGCAGACCATATTTATGTGCAAATGGTATTTGAGAGGCTAGAATAAAATAATTACAACAAATAAATAATGTCATTCAAAATAATTTTAGGCAGAAGAAACATTTCAGCATAAAACCTGTAAACCAGTCACTCCAATGACAATATTCACTGCTTCCTTTATATTAGTATGAGCTTCATGAGCTACGTTCACACAGCAGCCTGAAGTGACGCAAATCCGATTCTTTGCCCACATGCAACCTGGATCTGATCTTTTCATGGCTGTCTGAACAACACAGATCCGATTTTTTCCAATACGACCCAGACCACTTAGCTTTGTGGTCCTGAATCCGAAACAAATCTGATCTTTTCAAATGTGACCTGCGCCAGGTCGCATTCATCCGACCTGAACACCGTTAATACCCGACAAAGGTATCCTATTTAGGCTGTGACTCCATCCTGGAGAGAAATATCAGCTGTGCTGCTGCCATCAACACCTTTGTTTCTAGATGTTGGAGCTTGGCCTGTTTTCCAGTGTAGTCCTGTTTCTCTGACTGTGACTAACTGGATGTGCTCTCTTCATCCTCTGACATGGGAGCTGGCTCGGAGCTCGTCTGCCTGGCTGTGTGTTTCCTGGACGGGGCCGCCTGTGGAGCTGGTTGACAGTTGCCTTTTGTATCTATGCTTCTTTTTCTTCCTGTTCAAAGGGAGATTTTCTCTCCACTGTCGCTAAAAGCATGCTTAATGTGAGGGATTGCTGAAGAGTCAATGAGTCGATGCAATCAGCTGGTTTTCCTTAGATAGAAAACTTTGAATCAGTCTGACTGGATGATCTGGCCTGTTTGCTCTCCCTTAATTAGTAATTCCTTTCACCTGTCGTTTTTCCCTCCCTGCCTCAATTATAATTTATTCCTCTCAGCTGTTTCCTCTGGTTTATATTCAGTTCAGCCTGAGCATTCAGGTCCAGATCATTACTTGTCTTTCTGTTAGTCTGTTTGTCTGAGTTTTTGCCTTGGTTCATGTCCTGGATCCTAGCAGCCACTGGAAAGAGGGTTTTTGTGTTTGTCTCATCTCCTGATTGTCCACTGTTCCTCCCCCGCGGAGTCCTCTGGGTTTTTGGCTCAATATGTGGGGAGGTTCAGTTTTTATCAAAGTAAGCCTGGCTTCAGGGAGGAGACCAGTTTAAAGTCCTGCTTCAAGTTCCGGTTCCACGTCCTGTCTCGGCTACCCTCTTCAACTGTGCGTGCCTGTCTGCACCTGATCCTGTCTGCTCCTGTGTGTGACCACCTGGTCATGCTTCTGGTCCCTCCTGGGAGCCTGAGGATGCCTGGAAGTCTGGATCCTGCCACCTGTTTCTGTTCCTGCCTGATCTGGATCCTGCCTGTTCCTGTCTGTTCTGGATCCCTGACCAGGATCAGGTTTCAGCATGACCTCTGGGACTGCAGCACTGGGGACATTCGTAGTCTGGACTGTTAAACCAGGTAAGTGACCAACCCAGATAATCATATATCAGATGATCGTGGTCACGTACCTGTGTTTCTCCCCTACAGTGTCTGAGATTGGGCGGTGCCCCGCCCCCCCGCCTGCAGTGTCCGTGAGCCACAGCTCCGCTTTTGTTTTGTTTTAGTTAATAAACGTTTGAACTTTCCTACTGACTGTCTCTCCTTGAATACTGGGTCCATCTGTCCTCGCTTCATGACACTGACTGGATGATCTGGTGAACTGGAAAGTGACCTGAGATGACATGATGTGAATTGGAGCTATAGAAATAAACTGAATAGAATTTATTGAATTCTGTGTCTTGCTATAAAGAAGTGGCAGATGCAGACAGCAGTGTTTATTTTTAACCATTGAAGATATATATACATGTTTTAAGCTAAAAGAAGTAAAAAGCTAAGTTAAAGCTGCAGCAAAACTTATTGTTCATATGTTTCAGGGCAGATTTACAGAACAGAGTGTAGAAAACAACAGTTGCAGATGGGAAGGCTGAGAATGACCTTCCTCCCAAACACACACACACAGAAGAAGCTGATTAACAGGGGAGCAGGAAGACAGGAAGCAACTCCATATTTTGAGATAGGAAGTAGGGAGGATGATCACTCTGTGGGACTGTCTGTGTGAAACTGTAAGATTTTCCCCTATGAAGATAGTAAAAAGAGCCGGTGTTGCAGGGGGGGTCAGAGTTGCTGTTCGCAGATGGGTGCTGCTGATGCTCCTCCCCCTTTGCAAAGGCGAATTGAAGCTTCGTTGTCCAGAATGTTTTTATAACATCTCAGTTAAGTTACCTGCATTCGAATTAACGGACCCGGGGGAAAAACATGACTGTGTTTTTCAACAAAATCTTGAAAAGATTTTGTTTTTATGGTTGGGAAGGATCACTAGATGCTCTCTCCATGTTTACTTTCCACCATGTGACGTCATCGCGTCCTCTACCGCGACCTTTCCCCCCCCGAGTTAGACACGGCTGCCTGGAGACACTCATGGAGGATCATCTCAGCCTTCCCTCATCAGGAGGAGGTGTTGCTCAAAGTCATCTGAAGAAAGTGATCAGAGCTCAGCTGACCTCATCAGAGTTTAATTTAACTGGAGTGAATATCGTTTTCCCACATCACTACCCTCTTCTGTTTCTGATAGAATAATCCTGATTGGATTTTCTGATAGAAGTGGGACAAACACTACATTGCTATGTGGTTCTGCACTATTTAGCTCTACTATTATAAAGGAATATTTCAGCCTGACATCATTGTTCATGTTTATCAATGTTTGAATTCTTCTGATTTTAAACATTTGAATAAATAGAATGGATGCAGCAGATTTGTTTTTTATTTTGGTGTTTTATTCTTAGATTTTATTTTCTGAGCACTGTAGAAGTACATACACTGTACAAGTACATTTGCACAAGTGAAGCTACTTGACCAGTAAAGTCTCTGATTGCTGTATCGCTTTCCTCTATTTTAGAATACAGTCACTTATCTTTGACTAGTTTGTCAGGTTTAGCAGGAGGTTGGTTTAAGTTAGAATCAATTTTTTCTTGTTTCAGTGACATTTAATGCTGCTCTAAGAGCCGCCCCGGTTGAATTAGTTTTCAAAGCTCTTTCGCTCTCATCGTATTGTGTAATTTGCACAATACGATGAGAGCACATCCCTTTCTCTACTCTGACATTATCATTTAAGAGTCCTGCATAATGGACTGGAAACACTGAATCATTAATAGCTTTTTGTGGACTGAGTACCCTCGGATGCAGAGAGGTGGATGCATTCCCCCCTCCTCTTAGCTTCATTATCCTTAGCATTTCCAGATGAAGCTGCTCCACCTGCAGCTACTGATTGAATGTCAATGCATCATATAACCCCAAAAGCAACAGTCATGCCTTCATCTTGTTGTTGTGCAAAATGATATCCTGCAGATAATGAAAAAATGATTAAGGATTAAAGGAATAGTACACCCAAAACATGATTAGCCTTCATTTTCTACTCACCCCCCCAGGTCCATAAAAGTCCACAAAAAACGTGTCAATATTCCTCCATACTGCTCGTCCAATGTATTCCAAGTGTCCTGAGTGGGTAGCATCCATAATTTACTCGAAACGAAGTCATTACAGGATTTCCTGAAAGCGCGCACATGCGCGTTCACGACGCTACGGAAGCCGGCAGACCAAACCAGATGAAAGTGCGCATTCAGCGTCTGCTCTGCCGATAATGCAAGCGTAGAAGAAGAAATGTGCTGTTTACCTGTGCAAAGGAAGAAACAACGAAAGAAAAATGTCTGAGGACTTCAGTGTTGAGGAAGAGCATGAGTTCTTTGCCAAGCTGAATGCGCACTTTCATCTGGGTTGGTCTGCCGCGGTTTCCGTAGACTCATAAACGCGCTTTCAGGAAATCCTTTACACTACTGTTTATGCTCTAAAAACATTCTAAATGACTTCGTTTCGAGTAAATTCTGGACGCTACCCACTCAGGACACTTGGAATACATTGGACGAGCAGTATGGAGGAATATTGACACGTTTTTTGTGGACTTTTATGGACCTTTCTGCCTCGGGCGCCATAGACCTCCATTATTTGAATGTCAGCAGACAGCAAGAAGCCTCCCAGATCTCCAGATGCATTTGAGATATCAAAAAAGTACTCCAGAGTGTTGTTCAGCATGGGGGTGAGTAGAAAATGAAGGCTAATCATGTTTTGGGTGTACTATTCCTTTAAGGGCGACAGTGGCGTCGGATGTAGGAGTTTGCCCTGAAATCAAAGGGTTGACGGTTCAAGCCCCAGCTCCAACTTTCATGGTTGTTGTGTCCTTGGGCAAGACACTTCACCTTCACTTGTCTACTGATGGTGGTCAGAGGGTGGCGCCAGTGTACGGCAGCCGTCAGTGAGCCCCAGGGCAGCTGTGGCTACAATGTAGCTTGCCACCATCAGTGTGTGAGTGAATGGGTGAATGAATGTAGTGTAAAGCACTTTGGTCAAGTCTCCTGTTCTTAGTTGAATAATTGTAGCTCTAATTTGCTCACTTACCAGGGTTTATGCCTTTCACCTCTCAATGGTTCCTGAACCGGCTGTTAAAATCCAGGTATCCAAAAAAGTTTAGTGACCCAGGCTGGGTTATCAGCAGAGCAATTAATTATCAATCAACAAACTATTTGTCTTTGTTTATTCACACTATTACCAAAGAGGGTGGATCCGGCCTGAGTGATAAACCATCTGTATATATGAATCATAAACAACTGCAAGTTAAACAATGATGTCTTTGTTCTAATAATTTAGGATCACAGAAATCTAACATCTATGAGAAACACTTTATGCTATTAGAAAATAAATAGCGGGTAGATTAAATGACTAGTTTAAAAGAAAATGAATAAAACCATAAGAGTCCGTTTAACTGGTTTCTGAGATTATCAGATGTTAATACATTCAATTGATGCTCTGAATAAAGACATTTGCTGAACTTCTTTTCAAGGACACACATTTTATTAAACAGGCTATTCATCCAAATGTAACTCTTAAATGTATAAATGTTTTATTCAAAAACTGACTTCATAATGATTTTAAAACTGGGATTAAGGGGTAGTTAAAACTAGAGGACCTGATATTGTTTATTAAAAGAAACTTAATTGCTTAAAGGAGTTGTTACAATTAACTGAATTTGAACTAAATAATAAGTCAGACTGAAAGAGCGTCGCTACTCCTGAATGAGGGAACCAAGGAAAACACATGGCAGACTGAGCTTTCTTCATGTTAATATGTAGAATAAAGGCAAAGAGAATAAACAGTGAGACATTTTTCACCGTAAGACCACCACCATTTAACACCTGATTAAAATATACAAACATTCTGATTGCAAAGAAATAATTCTAGTTAAAAAAGAAAAAGTCAGATAAAGAATCTCCAGCTTAGAAAACAAATGTTCTGAAACAGGAACTGGATCTCAGACACCCAAACATCTCACTAACATGTTGGATGAAAGTCAAAGCTTCAACATTCAGATCATTTTAAACGGCTCCCAGTTCACCCTGTTCATCATTCCCACCACCACACGTTAGAAAGGAAAGAAACTGAACCAGCAACCTGAACCTTCTGAGTTACAACATAAAAGCAACTCAGCGAGGTTTGATTTTATTACCCCAGTTTATTTGTTAGAAAAACTATGGTTTTGTTGAGTAACAAATCTACCACCTTTTCTCCCAGAGACGGCTTTTTTTTGGCATCAGGTTTTGACAGCTCTTCAAAGGTGGTCTTTAAAGCTTTCGTGAGCAAATCATTGTGATAGTGTCCTTCCTTCACCATCTCAGCGACATCTTTCAGCAGCGCTTCACCCTCTCCAGGGACAGGTTCCTTACTCAATAAGTGGATCCTTTTCAATCCAGAAAGCTTCGGCTTCTTTACATCTCCATCATTCTTAGTGACGACAACTATGATGTGAGAACGAGCATTTTTAAAGCCCTCCTCTAAAGCTTTTAGCACTTTATGATCTTCTATTGTTGCTATTTTTGACTCAAACACCAGGATGATTGCGTGAGGACCGGTAGCGCTACCCTTGTCCTCAGGAGAAAGCATCTTGATGCCCTCCAGAAGCTTTTTTTCCAAACAGTTGTCACCGTTCTTGAAACCAGGAGTATCCAGAACCTTCACCTGCAGCTTTTTACCATCAACTGTGAGACTTTTTGTCTTCAGCTCACAGACTTTTGTCCCAGAAGCAATAGTAGATTCTGTCCCGAAACACTTCTCTCCCAGGATGGTGTTACCAGCAGAACTTTTCCCACTTTTTTTCTTTCCCAGCAGCAAAATGCGGAGCTCGGATTCTTCTGAGCCTGATGGAGTCAAACACACATTGATGAACAAACGATTAGATGAGACCAAATAAGTGAGCAACATATTTCGCATTTTCACACCAGGAAATAATTTCACTGGTAGCTAACTTATAAAAATGCAGGGAGGCATCTTTCATTTAATACACCTGACTGCAGCTTCAATAAAGAGCAACCTTTTACTTTTTGACGGCAAAGCAATTTTAAATATATATATATATATATATATATATATATATATATATATATATATATATATATATATATATATATATATATATATATATATATATATATATATATATATATATATATATATATATATATGAGTGTATATTTCCTGTAATGTTGTAATAATATTTGAACATGAAAACCCAAGGGCATTTAAAACTGCCCTTTGAGGCGCTTCCTCTGTCGAAGTATGTTAGAAATACAACAGTGTACAGGAAGGCCTCTTTCCTTTGTGATATAACAAACATCTAAAGTCTGACCTTTTCATTTTAAGGTTTTTAAACAAAACATGGAGTCTAAATGTGGACAAAGATGCTCTAATGATTTTCTCTGTTCTTACTGTTGCAGGAGGCGGTCGCATTTTCCTGCTGCTCTGCTACCCCCCCCCTGCTCTGTCCCTGCTTTGCTGAGTCTTTGTCTTTTCTGAGCTCTCTCTTCTCTTTCCAGCTGGTCCCTCAATGCAATGGATCAAATTTTCTCAACTGGAGGACAGGGTAAAGGGGACCCTTCCTGTCCTTCCGGGACATACTTGATGGGATACACCATGGACTCCTGGAAGGCCTGGAGGATGGTGTGTTTTCCAATGCTGTCAGTGGAGGATGTAGAAGATGTTTAGATGTTTGGATTTGGAGGATACCTGATGTGTCTCCAATTACAGATTGGAAAATGACCAGGCTGCCGACCGCGGTTGATGCGCTCACAAAGGCTGTGAGCCAGCAGGGCCAGGAGGAGCCGTATGCTGGGTGCAATTGAACGCAGGCTGGCTGCGGTGGTTGAACTCAAAGGTGAAATGGGATAATATCGCTTTCAAGGAGTAAAAACCCAACACATTTGGAATATTGGGTTTGTCACGTAGAGCAGCTGGGCAGCCATAAGAACGCACCAAAGGCAGCGTTCTGCGGCACTCATGGCCTCAGTAAACCGTTCCCCCTCTCAGTCCCCCCCACCCCAATGTATGAGATGAACCGTTTGTACTGAAACTGAAATCTCAATTATAATGTAAATTGTAGTTGACAATAACGGAATTGATTGATTGATTGAATGACACTGACAGACATTAAGTCCCGCCCTGCCAGCATACACTATTACCAGGTTTGAATTCTTTTGTTCTTTTCTTGTGTCAGGAATCCAGTTTGTGTGGTCTGTTTTTGTGTTTCCTTTTTTCCTCCACCAGGTGGTGCTCAGTCTTCATTGGGCCTCCCTGCACACCTGCAGCTCGTTGCCTCATTACCTGTGGAGTGCTCTTAAGCTGCTGACTGCCACTACCTCGAGGCCAGAGTGTTTGCCAGTTTGGGGTACCCTAGCCATGCTTAGTTTAGCTGAGTCTAACCTGAGTTTTTGTTTTGCCAGTTTTGGGTACTTTAGCCAAGCTGGGTTTGCTGAGTCTAACTGAGTTTCTTGTTTACCTGAGATTTAATCTAGCTGTTTTTGTCTTTGCCTCTCGGCAGGAAGTCATCCTGCAAACTGGATGTTTCGGACCTTCTCTCCCCTGAAAGGATCATCTGAGAACCAAACTGAGCTGTATCTTCCCTTCACTTTCCAGTTCCGGTTTGACAGTGTTCAGAGCAGCACTGCACTCATCTCATTATACTAAATAAACCTGTTAAACTTTTCCCTGTTCTCTCTGTTTGGTCTTCTGCATTTTGGGTCAGATCTTTAATTAAATCATAACATCTTGTTTTCTAATGTTTGTTAAAAAGTTTGTTTTTAATTGGAAATACAACAGAAGGACATGTTACCACAATGAGTGAAAATTTTCTAATTTATTCTCATTTCTAAACGTTATTGGTTTTTCATAACATAAAAAAAACTTAAAAATTGAGTAAAATAGAAATTTTGACTTAGATTGGATTATAAAAAGAAATAGAGAAACCAAAGAATTATTTCACTATTAATTTAATTATCTAATTTATGGCTTGATTGAAGCATTTGACCAAAATACGCTTTATCATTCTTTAAAATCCCCTTAAAAGTTAGATAATCCATTGAGCATAAAAGTGGTGCTGCTTCTAAACACTAAAAAATAAAGTTGGCAGAGAACCGATTCCTCAGGGAGATTCATTCTTACCTGGGTTTGCTGGTTTGCTGGTCATCTTTGCCTTCAACAGGGTAACTTATGGTCTCTGATGGGTTCGTTGATGCCTAGGCGTTCTGAATTCTACTGAGTCCTGATTGCTCAATTTATTCTAACCTGTCTGAGGTTCCCTCCCAGTCAACCTTGTCATCTGGCCAATTTGACAGTGTGGTGACAGGCAGGAAAAAAAAGTGCCACCTTTAGCAGCAAACAGGAAACAAAAAACGAAGAACCAGTTTAACACGTTTTATTAAGATTTGCTTAGATCTCACGGCATAGTCACATATTCACAAAGGTACTTTACCAAATCTGAGATGGAAAATGACACTAAAAGTGGAAAAGTGACCTTAAAAGGTCCTGACCGAGCACCCATCAAGGTTTAACATAGAGCAGGGTCTGTCAGCACTGCTCCAACAGTGTCTGTCTGTACGGATGCATTAAAGATTTCAGGGAACATTAAAGGAACTGACCAAACAAAATGAACCATGCAGGCCAACACACTTGCTAGGAAGATCAACCGGTGGACATGTGAGGTTTGAGCCTCAGGACACTCAAAACACTAAGGCCCTGATCTACTAACAGACTGTACAGATCAAACACTGTGCAAAGTTGAAAGTTTGCTCAAAGCTGTTCTGCTAACGAGGTGCAAATAAAATTGTGGGTCTTGATCTGGATTAAGTTAGCATCTTCTCCCTGAGCATTTTGTTAAATATAGATTCTATTGTAACTGCTCATGCAGGTTCCATAGAGGGTGTGGTTGTATCATCTGACCTTCAGCAATACCTGTTGGTCCTCTGGGTAAAAAGAGAGAGTTATCCAATATCCACCTGGCAGTGGGTTAGTTTGGGGGAGCAACAGCTCTGCTTTGAATAGTAATTATCAAATGATATTTAATTAGATTCTTTAACCAGGAATAAATTTTTAATCAATGCCAAGTCAGACTTTAAAAACCCTAGTTCTTAATCCTGGCCATCAGGGACCCATACTCTGCATGTGGTGTGAATTGCTGCGATAGAAATAAACTAAAAGGAAGTTCTAATCCAGTTTATTTCTATACCACCAATTCACAAGCCATTTTATCTCAAGGCACTTTACTGAGACAGTTCAACCAGATCATCCAGTCAGATTGATTCAAAGTTTTCTATCTAAGGAAAACCAGCTGATTGCATCGACTCATTGACTCTTCAGCAATCCCTCACACTAAGCATGCTTGTAGCGACAGTGGAGAGGAAAAACTCCCTTTGAACAGGAAGAAACCTCCAGCAGAACCAGGCTCAGTGTGAGCGGCCATCTGCTGAGGCCGACTGGGGTTCAAGGTTATCTGAGTAGAAGTCCGCCATTGCACATCCGCTGCCTGTGCTTTGGGCAGCCAACTGAAATGTCCTTTTAAGATCAACTTGGATGTTGATTGGTCCTTGACGGAGGCGGATAGTAATCGTTTCTTCAGTTGAACTTCCGCCTAGGCTCCTGTTCTTTCCTTTTTATAGCCTTGTAATGAGGAGGCCGAGGATCATACAGGATTGACGATCCACATCCAAAATCAACGTCCTGTGAGATGCACTCCAGGAAGTTTGGTGCAGCTTTGACAGGGGTTTATACCTTTCAGAAGGTACTTGATTATATTTATTGATATATGTCTGCATCGTTATGTATTGGCAAACCAGGAGTTTGCTTTCAATAATTAAAAACATGCCCCTCTTTTCTGGGAATGTTTATTTTCCTATTTGGTGCTATTGCAATTGTAAAACTCAATCTGGCTGGCTGCCCACCTTTAAGCCTCGGATTGAATAAAAATTATCTACTTTTTTAGTGCGACATAATTTCTGCAGTTGAAACTATCGTTTCTACTGATTTTTTTTTAAAAGTAAGAATAATTTTTCATTACGGCCGATAACCATCCCAGCAAATGTTAGTGCTGCGCTCGTTTCTGATATAAATGTATTACATAACATGTAATTCCTGTGGTGGTATTGCATATAACAGTAGGCACGTTGCCCTTATTTAGCAGCTGAAATGATTGTGTAATATTTAGTCAATCACCAGTAGGGTTCCCAACTCCCTGTAAAAAAAAAAGTGCCACCTCATGTGCGTGCCAGCTGACCCCATTGCCTTCACCCCTGCTGGCGTGATTTTCTTAGCCCCCCTTTGTGTGTGAAATTATTTTTTTACCTATTTGACTCAAATCTGCATCTAATTAGATGCAGATTTGTTAGCGACATGAACACATGAAAAACAAAGTATTATCCAGCAATTCACTTTAATACTAAATAACAAATGTTGCTGAATAAAATAAGTATCTTAAACATAAGCCTTCCTGCTTAACTTAAAACTCAAAAAAATGAATATAAAACAATAAATAAATAGTGCACATTTTTGGTGCCAAAGCAAACTTTTGCAAACCTGTAAACATATGTGTGTGTTTTAAATGCAATGACTGTAGGCTACAGTTGGAAAACAGAAAGGAAAAAAAAAATCATTAGCTCAATGCCACATAATGTAGCTATAGCCGACTTTTTCCACTTGTATTTTCTCTGAGCTCTTGCAGCAGGAGTTGTTTGTCTTTGAGTGGATGATGGGATGCTGAGAACAAAGGACACAGCAGCCTGGATGCTGGGAAGGTCACCTACTGAAGAACCTCCATCCACCTCTCTGCTGTTCCTTTGGACTTCCAGGATTCCTTTTCCTGAATGAGGAGCTCCACAAGGCTGGTTGCAGTTACATATTCCTCAGCATTTAAATTCCTCCGTTCGTCCCCCATATTGCTCTGTTGTCTCCCGCTATCTTCTCAATGAGCAACACTTGGCTCGACCAATAGGATTACGGGATTCTGGATCGTTGCATATATGTTGTTAGTTCATTGGTCACAATGGACTGGAGAAAACTGGAGAGAAAATATCGCTCCTCAGGCCTGTGGGAATCCTACCTAGTCTGGAAAAATGGTTTACTGCTGTATCAGAGGACCCTTTGTAAAGCAAGAGCAGCATATTTCTCCTCATTAATAGAGGAGAATAAGAATAATCCTAGATTTCTTTTTAATACAGTTGCCAAACTCACCCAGAGCCATAGCTCAGTTGAACCGTCCATTCCACCTGCTATTAGCAGCAATTATTTTATGGGATTCTTTATAAATAAGATTGATCTTATTAAAAATAAGATCATTAGCACTCCTCTATTGGTTTGTTTCTGGAGGGTTGGGCAGCATCTGAGGTAGTCATGGAATCTGAACAGGGTTTAGACTGCTTTGATCCAGTTGAACTTTCACAGCAAAACTATTGTCTTCATCTAAGCCTTCAACTTGGATGTTAGCTCCAGTTCCAAGCAGGTTATTTAAGGAGGTATTCCCTTTGATCTCCTCCTCCATTCTAGATGTGATTAATCTATCTCTGTTACAGGGATATGTACCAAAGGCTTTTAAGGTTGCTGGAATGAAACCTTTGCTTAAGAAACCGTCTCTTGACCCTGATGACTTGGTCAATTATAGACCGATATTCAATCTTCCTTTCTTATCTAAAATTCTTGAGAAAGTAGTTGCCAAACAAGTTTGCGATCACTTCCACCATAATTAATTTTTTGAAGAGTTTCAGTCTGGCTTTAGAGCTCATCATAGCACTGAAACAGCTCTCGTGAAAGTCACTAATGATATTCTCATGGCCTCAGATAATGGACTTGTATCTGTGCTCGTCCTGTTGGATCTCAGTGCTGCATTTGATCCAGTTGATCATAATATTCTTTTAAAAAGACTTGAATATTTTGTTGGAATTAAAGGAACAGCTCTAGACTGGTTTAAATCTGATCTATCTGATTGATTTCAGTTTGTTCATGTTAATGACAGATCTTCCTCATGCTCAAAGGTTACCTGTGGAGTACTGTAACGATTAGGGTTGCGTTTAAGCAAGGAGAGGGCGGTCAAAAACTCACAGCCACAATGGTACTGGGAATTCCACAGTGTCATACTCGCATGCACATTCAGAAGATATGAAGCATAATCAGAGATGGCAAAAGTACTCACTTTCCATACTTGAGTAAAAGTACAGATACTTGTGATAAAAAATACTCTGGTAAAAGTGGAAGTACTGATTAAACTTCTTTACTCAAGTAAAAGTAACAAAGTACAGGCTTGTAAATTTACTTAAAGTATAAAAGTAAAAGTAGAAACCACTTTTTTCATGCCGTTGCCTACATTTTAAATGGATGTCTGCCAATAGGACTAGATCTCCGTTGTGTTCATTTTCAATCATCTCGTCGTCCATGCTACTATGCTAACGCCACCGCCACCAAGCTACAATGATTTGCCGCCAATGAATACCGCCGAATCTGTCGATTCATCTTGTAGTGGTGCATCAAATGCAACGTAGATTCCCATCCAATTAGATTGAATTTGGTATTGATGGCGTGAAAAATAATAACGGTAACTCCATTGAAATGATTCAAAACTAAAGTAACGAGCCAATTTTCTAAAACGTAAGGAGTAGAAAGTAAAGATATTTGTGTAAAAATGTAAGGAGTAGAAGTAAAAAGTCGCGATAAAAATAAGTAGTAAAGTAAAGTAAAAACATCAGAAAAATCTACTTGAGTACAGTAATGAAGTATTTGTACCTCGTTACTTCCCATCTCTGAGCATAATCCATGTCACGTCCAGGCAGCACATTTGATCCAAAGTTGTCATGGTGAAGCATTCCATATTATATTCCAAAAACAGCATTGAAAACTTCGCTTGTTGCCATGGGAAGGTCCCGTCATCTGCGTCTGGGCTAGTCTTGCTCTTTTCCACGAGTTATGGCGGATATCCACTATACAGCAAAGTACCTCCTGAACGTTTTAATCATCAGTTGTTAGAAGATACTTCAGGCTGAGGTCCAAGATTAAATGTTGGGAGCCAATTGTAATGCTTAGGGTTGTGTTTAAGGAAGAAGAGGGCGGTCAAAAACTCACAGCTACACTGGTACTGGGAGTTCCACAGTGTCGTACTTTAATAAAAAAAGCTCTTCACCAGCTATACAAAGCCCGGTTGAACGGCTGCTATATTATCACACATGACAAATGAGCAGAGTCCAAACAACCCCTAACATTACAAAGAAAAATAAGATAAAATAATATGTCTGTCTGAGTACCTGTATCTCTCTGCATCAGCTCTCCCGCTCT